GACGATGCTGTATACATAGTCAGAAGGGTCGACACCCGCATCAGAAGCAGGCTAACGTACCTGTCAATGCATGTTATGATTGAATCATAACGCTTCTTGGGAAATCTTCCACCGATTGGGACTTCCCATTTCAAGAAGCCGGAGTAAGTCCGCAAACTGTTCAGCATGAGCATCTGCTTCGAAAACACCTTGTTGCGGGCCTTGAGCAGTCGCCGCCCTGAGGAGGTTTTGATCGCCAGATCACCCTCGTCACCTCGCATCCGGGCGGACACGGTCTCGTGGATGACAGAGTAGTAATTTGCTAAAAGATACAAAGATGCCCCCAGACTTTGGCGAAGAGCAGAATGTTCCGAGATCGGATAAGGGAAGAATGTCCAGAAGAAAGCAACGGCAATACCCCCAGCCACTGTTGCAAGTCTATATGGTGCTAGCAGATAGATGGGATAGTACTGCTGTCCATTGGAGGTGGCCACTGCCTCTCCGATCTTGCGAACCTCCAGCTCGTACCCCACTATCATGGAAGTAGAAATGATGGTAATGATGCCAATGATGCGGAAGCGGAATTGCTTGATTGGTACATAGAAGACGCAGGTTAGGAAGATGAACAGGAAGACGATAATTCCTGGAGTCTTCTTGCCGGGGATATACCAAGCCAGTAAGCTAAGCACCATAGCCATGACTGTGCCCAGAATACGGAGAACAAAGCCGAAGATGCTCTGACCCGAGGTAGGCGACATACTCAGATTGACCATGATCATGGCCCATACAAACCTCTGCTTCACGAAGAAGCTTTGAGTGTCATGAAGAAATGCGACCACAGCCACAGTCATCGTGGCACAAGCTACGCGGAAGCCATAGGCAGACTCAGGTGAGCGGAGGGCGGAGGGAATCCGTCGAAGCTTGTCTCCAAATCTTTGCAGTTCATTCTCCGGGGGTAAGTGTTCGGGGTCTTTTCGATGTTTGTATGCTTCGCCCAGCTGAAGAATATTATTCTGCGAGCTGATGTCTCCACCAAGATTATCATCTTCGTGGGTATCTTCCGCTTTGAAGGCGCTTACGACCCACTTTAACAGGCGCTTAGATCCTGGTATGATGAGCCGTTTTCTTGACAGTTTTCCGCTCGCACGTTTCTCGTCGGCAAAGTGGATGAAATCCTGAATGACATGACCGGTGGAGCTGAGAAGTTGTTCCATCTATACAAGTCAGCAAATCGCGTGGAACACCAGATAGCACAATGCCCCACGTACGTAAAGAATTAAATACAGCTGTCGTCTGCTCCGATCTCGTCCAACGCCTGAACTATCAGAAGGTATATCATCGATATCGAGGTGAACGGAAGAAGGGTGCTCAAAAAAGTCCGGGGGGAGGGTGATCCCTTTTTCTTCACCCCAGGCCCGCAAAGCGATGCGCTTGGCCGCCTTGAAATCGCTTAGCTTCTTTGCATAGAGGGCAGCAAAGGCTTTTTCGCCAGGTTTTGGGCTTGCGTTCGCTTCCACATCTTCCGATTCTTTCGATGTAGTTGATGCTTTGGGCGGTTTACTGAACTCGAGAATGTACGACACATGCTGAAGGCCTTCATCAATGGTATCGATCATAGACCGGAACGGATCATGCACAGCCCGCATGATATCGTTCCATTCCTGCACAACGCGACAGCGTATATCCTCTGGAGCGCCAGGATCGATCGGCTGGTTCCACTTGTTGTAATCAGATAGACGCTGGAAGATGTCGACCACAAAGCTTAACCCCACAACAGGAATCATAGCATGGCGCAGCTGCCTGAAAATTGCTTGAAGATCGTCCGGACCAAGTTTGCCGATGGCGAATTCACGCTTTGCAAATGTCAGGTCTCCGTGGATCTTAGCATGGAGATCTGTGAGTTTCTGGCAAGCCGATCGAATAGCCGCTGCCTCTGGGCTGTAAACCTTGCCGCTCTCGGTCATCTTTTCCACTCGAGAGTCGTAGGTCTCGGCCCGCCCAAACATATCCTCGCGCTCTAGGGATTCAAAATACGATGTGTGGGCTCTGAGAGCGCCACGCAAGCCGTCGATATAACCTCCCATTTGTTTGAGAATGATGCCGCGAGTACTCTTGGGCAGAATGAACAGGGACACACCTGTGCAAATGGCTAGCCCTGTCAGACAAGCTTCGAGCAACTTCTTCACCAATGCAATTGCTGCAGTCATGGTTCCTAGACGGGGGGCATAGGTGAACGTGACATTGGCAACAATGGAATAAATGATTACAGGGAATTGAAACTGCTGGAATTTGGCTCTGAAAGTGTGGACCACATAAATCTGGAAGAAAAGCCAGACTCCACTGACTGCTGACGCGGAGGCATTGTACGGGACGGAGGTGGTTGAAGTAGCACTCGATGTCGCCGACGATGTCGCTGAAGATGGCTCTGAGTGTTCTCGGGCCTTGATACAGCAGTACATCATGAGCAATGCGAAAGCGGAGGCCACGCAGACTGCGAGGATGTCCAGCACCATCATCTGAATGAATTTCGCGCGCGGCATAATGGAGAACCCCAGGACAGAGATGATAGCCACTAAATAGCCAACGGTGTTGAATTGACCGGACACGACATCTGATTGATACCTATGGCTTATTAGTTCTGGTGCTTATAGTCATCATAGAGATGCTGGTAGGCAAGCATACATAGCTACGCATATCGTGGGTGGAAGTGCTCCCCTGTTGCGAACAACTGCATTTAGCTTCAACGCACATTATCTGATATACGAGGATTCGGTGGGACATACTTCATCATAAGCAGTAAAGTGGGGATGTCCATATTTAGCTTACCCCAGATTATCTGGGGTAAGCTGAAAATCCTCGTCCATTTTCGCTTCTTGGGGCCATCATTTGTGGCCTGCATTGATGGCGAGGCGGCTGCTTCGGCAGCGTCCGGGGCTACCATGTCTTGGGCTGATCAGTGGTGTCGGTCGCAATGTCTCTCTGTCTCTGTCTCTGCTCAGGATGCATTTCCCGGGGTGTTTTGATAGTCACTCCCTCTATTTTCCCCGGCACACGTGATCTGTCAACCGATGCCGAATCCGGAGACGGGAAAAGAAAGCCTGGAGCTCTGGATTGTGGAGGACGATGATTGAGGGGATAGAACGGACAACTTTAACCTGCAAGGTTAATGAGACAGCACAGGAAATAGATGCAGGGGAGAAGGTTGAAGAAAGTGTAATCGATTTTGTTGAGGCGGGATACGAGAAGGATGACTCGGTGAAGATAGAATTGAGAGGGAAGAAGGATTATTTGGTGGCGATCGGCGCTCCGTTACTTGACTGGGAAGGCACGATACTTTCTCCCATCCGCGGTCACGGCTCGTCAATGGCCGCCTGTCCAGGGACTGTGTATTGATCTTGAGCCTACTGTCTACCAGTACTCCGTATATCTGCAATGACTGCGGGAAATCAACATTTTGTGTCAAACAGGCAGGCTGCAACGTGCAAGAACCCGCCATCCCGTCGGACTATTTCCGACCCACTTGCAGCTTAACCGCATATGATATCATGCACTCACGACAGAGGATAATTGATATTGACACCGGCTGCCTTTCCCATGGCACCACTGCTAAGCCTGCCTAGGGAAGGCGGTAGCACAAGCCCACTAGCCTGATTAGGAAGTG